GTCGCAGGAGGAGGAGGGGGCGGAGCAGTTGGAGGATGAGGGGAGGAAACGGAACATGTGGGGATGGGGCTGAGGAGCAGGAATATTCGTAAGTGAAGGGGGGAAGGAGCATACTGATCATGGGCGGACACCAAGACCAAGTTTTCATTGTGCCTTGGAGAGCGGGGGTGCTGGGTTGGGGGCAATGGAGGAGGAGGAGGAGGAGGAGGAGGGGTGGAGGAGGACGAGGAGGAGGAGGAGGAGGTGGAGGAGGAGGAGGGACGACTGGGAGAAGACGAGGAGCAGGTGGAGGAGGAGGACGATGAGGAGGAGGAGGAAGTGGATGATGATTAGAAGATGAGGAGGAGTAGGAGGTGGTGGAGGTCGGAAGGAGAAGGCAGGAGGAGGATGAGGAAAAGGAGGAGGATGAGGAGGAGGAGGAGGAGAGGAGGAGGAGGAGGAGGAGGAGGAGGAGGAGGAGGGGACGGTAAGGGACAGGTAGGCACGGGGGAACAGGGGCTGTGAAGGAAGGGATGAGGAGACGGAAAGGGGAAAAGGGGCGGATAGGGTAGGGACAGGTGGGTCAAGGAGGATGTGAAAGTGGAGGTGGAAGAAGAGGAGGAGGAAGAGGAGGAGAAGGAGGAGGAGGAGGTGAAGGAGGGGTAGGAGGAGGAGGAGCGAGAGATGAATGTGTATGATGGAGAGTGAGAGGACGAGGAAAAACACTAAGCGGGGGAGGATGAGGAGAGGAGATGGAGAATGAAGAGGAGGGGGAGGAGACGAAGGACAAGGCGTTCGGGGTGTTCGCGCCCTAGTTACTTGTGCATTGGAGTTTGTGGACCTCTAGCAGCAGCAGCGGAGGAGGACGAGAAGAGGTGAGGGCCATGACAAGGACAAGGGAGCTCTCGCCATGACGCCGACTGCGACGACGTTGGTTGCGGCGGGGAGGCTGGCGACGCCAACGACGACGCCGACTGCGACGACGCCGACGCGCGACGTCGTCCGACGGCCTTTGGAGTCTGGAAGTCTCCTGGGACCTTTAGGGGACTGCGGAGGAGCCTGGAGGCTTTACGGAGGTCCAGAAGCGGCCATAACTGCCAAAGCAACGCCGCCGATGCCGCTGGCGCTGGCGCTGCCGACGCCGACGCCAACGACGACGTCGACGTCCGCGACGGCTACGCCCAGGGCGCTGAAACAAGGACCTCTTTGGGCTCAGGACGGGGCTCTGGCTTTCGGGCGGTTGCTCAGATCTGAGTCGGGGAGTCTGCTCGTTGGTAAGGCTCGCAATTCCATTCGTTCCTCATTCGGTGTTCCGTACGGCGTCGCCCTGTGCGAAAGAAGGCACCCACCAGTCAAAGCACCGAGAGGGCCCCCCCCCGACACCCCGCACCTCAAAGTTGGCGGGCGACTTCGCCCGGAGGTGAGTGCGAGCTGTTGCGACATCTGCGCACGCTCTTGCGAAGGTCTCCCCGCTTCCTCATCAACCTCGAAATTCGTGGGCGAGGGGGGGGAGGGCGCGTTTCGATATATGAGAAAGAGCGTGTTCTACCGCTGCTCGCGGAACACCGGGAGGGGTCACTGGGGTTCCCAACCCGCCCCCCCCCTCGAAAACCAGGGGGGGGTCTCTACCGGTTCGAACCCCCCCATTCCCCACCCCTCCAGTCCATCATGACAAGGAGGGGGCCCACTACCGGTTTGAACGGCCCCCCCCCCCTCGCCGCCGGCAAACGATTCCTGCTCATCGGGACAGTGGAACAGGGGTGGGGACACTGGGACAGTGGTGGGGACAGTGGTGGTGGGGACAGTGGCGTGGGGACTGGGACAGTGGTGGGGACAGTGGGGACAGTGGGACAGTGGTGGGGATGGTGGTGGTGGGGACAGTGGCGAGGGGACAGTGGGACAGTGGTGGGGACAGTGGGGACAGTGGGACAGTGATGGGGACGGTAGTGGTGGGGACAGTGGTGAGGTCGGTGGTGAGGACGGTGGTGGGACAATGGGACAGTGGTACAGTGGGGAGAGTGGACAGTGGCGGGGGCACTGGGGACAGTGGGACAGCACAGTGTGACAGCGGTGGGGGGAGTTGGGACAGTGTGGCAGTGGTGGGGACAGTGGGGACAGTGGGGACAGTGGTGTGGACAGCGGGGACAACGGGGAAAGTCGGACCGTGGTGGGGACAGAGGTGGGGACAGTGGGTCAGCGAGACACTGGTGGGGGCACCGGTGGGGACAGTGGGGACAATGGTGGCAACAGCGGGGGCAGTGGGACAGTGGTGGGGCCAGTGGGACTTTCTTGGGTCCGTGGTGGTGGGGACAGTGGTGTGGGGACAGTGGGACAGTGGTGGGGACGGTGGTGGTGGGGACAGTGGTGAGCGCGGTGGTGAGGATGGTGGTGGGACAGTGGTACAGTGGGGACAGTGGTGGGGACAGTGGGGACAGTGGTGGGAACAGTGGGACAGCTCAGTGGGACAGCGGCAGGGACAGTGGGGACAGTGGGACAATGGTGGGGACAGTGGGGACACTGGGACAGTGATGGGGACAGTGCGGACAGTGGAGAGAGTGGGACCGTGGTGGGAACAGTTGTGGGGACAGTGGGGACAGTGGGACGGTGGTGGGGGCAATGGTTGGGACAGTGTGGCAGTGGTGGGAACAGTGGGGACGGTGGGACAGTGGTGGTGGGGAAGGTGGTGCTGTGGACAGCGGGTGAGGGCGGTGGTGAGGACGGTGGTGGGGACCCGGGAGTCGTTTGCCGGTGGTGAAGAAATATTCCCCCTTACGGGGTACAATCGAAAACGAAGAGGGCGGGTATCGATGGTTTGGGATATTCGTGTTGAATGGCCCGCGAGCAGATAAGAGCGAACAGTCTCCAACTCATTGTTGTTCTTGGTGCTGCTGATGATGATGATGATGATGATGCTGCTGCTGATGATGATGATGATGATGGTCATGATGGTCATGATGATGCTGATGATGATGATGATGATGATGATGATGATGATGATGATGATGATGATGCTGATGCTGATGATGTAACATAACACCCTTGGGGTTGGGCGTATGTTTGGACCTCTTTGGCAAAGCGCCGCCGTCGAGCGAGCAGGTGATATCGCTCGATCGTGCCGTAGGTGTACGGCTCAAGCGGCTGCGCCGCAGGTCAGGTCCTGCGGTCTGGAGCTCGAGCGCTTCAGGCACTCTGACCGTACACCTTTCCGCGTCCCCTGGCCTCGACTGGTGCTCGTCCGAGCAGCTGCTGATGGCGGACGACCGCTCGACCGTGCTGGCGCCGGGCGAGTGCTTCCGACATCCTGTCTTGCATGATGACGGGTCCGACGCGGGCTCTGTTGTTGGCGTGGTGCGCAGAGTGATGTCGGACAACCCAGGGGGCACCGCCTACGAAGTGGAATACTTTGCTGCTGGAGATCAATACCTGTCATGGTGGCTTAATTCACGGATTGCGAAGCGAGAGAAGATGATCTTACACGTGTGCCGTGGGCCAGTCTCGCGATGTCGCTACACGGCACCGCGGGCGGGGTGCCAGGTGCTCCACACCAGGGCGCCCCAGAGGCTCACGGCCTCTCAGGCAGCCGAGCGGCACATGGCAGTGCTCCAGCACGATGAGGATTGCCCCGAGCTGCCGGCTGATGTCGCTCAGGCCGCTTTAGATGAGGCTGAGGCCGCTGAGGAGGAAGAGGAGCTGCCGCCGAGTCGCGCCGCTTTCGCTGGCCCGGCCAGGAAACGCCCCGCCGGCGTAGGCAAGGCTGGGGGCGACCTGGTGGAGCTCGACGGCGACGGGGAGACCGACGAGGCACACGCGGAGGCCTTCGCTGAGCTCGACAGGGAGCTCGCAGCGCTTTCAGGCAAGTCCGAGGGCACGAAGGGCTCGGCGAAGGACGGCTACCTGGAGCGCCTCAACAAGTTGCGGGAGAAGCTCGCGACAGTGCGCGGCCCGGAGGCCGCTGCAGGCGGGACCGCGGCCGCCGCACCCACCAAGAAGGCCAAGCTCGGCGAGGTGGTCCAGGCAAGGATGACTGGACAGGCGCCGAGTGCTGCCGCTGCTGGTCCAGCAGATGGCGGTCGGGCTCGCGGCTCAGGCGAGCGGGCAGTGCTGAAGACGCTCGCCGAGTACCTGAGTCAGAAGGGCGACGACGACGACGGCCTGTTTGACAGTAATGATGATCGCGTCCCTGGCGGGCGCCCTGTGGCGGCCCGCCGCCTGGCGTACAAGAAGATAGCGGAGAAGCATCCAGGGCGCCTCTCGGAGAGGGAGATGGAGAACATGGCGCATTTTCTGGACCATGATGATGTTGGAGGTGTGAACAAGCATAGCCCGTGGCGCTCAAGTTCTTGCTCCGGGTGCTGAAGCCCGCGCATCCCATTCGTGAGATTGGCGAGGACCGTTACCGCGAGCTGCGGACGCTCGCGGAGAGTGCGGACCTCATAGTCTCGGGCAAGCCCATTCACGCCCTGGATTTCATCTTCTGCAGAATCAAGGCTATCCAGAAGACCATACGGGAGGGCCATTCGAGGACGGCGAAGTGGTTCGAGCTCATCCCCCCCGGCAATGGTGGATTGAGCCTCTCAGTTGAGGACGAGGAGCTCGTCACGGGCGTCGAGGCCGCCGAGGTGCGCATGGCCCACCTGCTCGGGCGCCTCGGAGGCCGCGGCTAGGGGTCTGGCCGGGGCGGCGGCGAGAGCTTGGCCGACCGCCCTGCAGGCCCGAGCCGTGGTGGAAGCCCGGACAGCAGAGCGTTGCCGATCACCAACATCGGCACTGCCGCGGACGCCGCAGAGTTGCGCATCCGCTTGGGAGTGCAGCCGCCCAGGGGTCGTGCTCCTGCCCTGGAGGCGGGCCGCGCCGATCCCCCGTCGGGGGGCGGCTTGCCCGCGCTGACAGACCGCCCGGTCCCCCAGGCGGTGGACGGGAAGCCCCTGTCAGCGTGGGCGGCGGTGCGCGCGAAGACTCCGCGTGCCGAGGGGGAGTCCAGGCGGCAGTTGAAGAAGAGGATCGCGTCGCAGTTCTTCAAGCGCCGGGTGTCGGCCAATAACGCAGCGAAGCCGAGCGAGCCGCAGAGGCGGGTCGTGCTGAAGAATTGAACGTGATGAGTGGCGCGGCTATCGGCAGCGAGGTGGCCGCGCTGACGCTGGGCCAGTGGAAGGCGGACATCGCCTCGCGCATGTGCCGCAGCGGCCCCAGCAGGATGACAATGCTGGAGATCGGCTTCGGGATCCTCACCAGTGTCAGGAGAATATCAAGTTGCATTGGAGATTTCGCTGGAAGGTTCCCTGTGGGCGTCGCGCCACAATCGCCGGAGGCTGGTGTCGGGCGTGATGTGCTGCCCCTGCCAGTAAGGGGGCCGGCCACCTTTATCGCCTGGGAACGTGATCTGAAGAGGAGGAATGTTGGACTGTGAGGGATCCCCCGTGGATGTTACGAAGTGGCCAGCTGCTCTAAAGAAGGAGGCCCAAGCCACGGCGGTCGAGGTGTGGACCTTCGCGAGCGCGCTGGGCCTGAACTACCTTTACCTTGGGCACCTGAGCAAGGACCGCTGGGAAGCAGCCGGGCGCCTTTCTGAGGTGCAGGCCGCCAGCCTACGTGTGATCGGTGAGACGGTCGAGTGGCACGTGGGCGACGCGTTGGCGGCGGTGGACATCCCGTACTGGCCTCAGGAGATGAAGAAAACGAAGTCGAGCTACGATCTGGAGGAGGACTGTCGGGCGCTCCCCTTGAAGTTCGGCGAGCTTGAGCCCGGCCTTCCCAAAGCCGAAGATATCGGCCGCTTGGACGTGCTGGACTATGTGGGGCCAGAGCTCAAGGAGGTGCTCACCAAACCCGGGATGTCGCTCTTGCCGGAGGACGAGTGGCCCGAGTCGCCTCCGAAGGCAAAGGTCAACGTCGAGAAGCTGGAGGACTGGTGGGCCATCGCTGCCCAGCTGGTGGAGCGTGGACTGCTGGCCCCTATACCAGCTGAGCGCATCTTTGTGGCCCGCGGCCGTCGTGTCACGAACGGTTTGTTTGCTGTGACGAAGTCGGGGTCCCCAGCTGAGGGAGAGGCCAGAGTGACACGATTGATTTTCAACATGGTCCCGACGAATACGTACCTTCGACCGTTGGCGGGGGACTCAGTGACTCTGGTACCCTCGCCGGCGTGGGTAAGCATCCCAGTCCCCGGCCATGTTCTTGGCATGAAGGCCAAGGAGGTGTGGCTGGCCATGACAGTGCTGCCCATGGGCTGGGTGTACAGCGTCCCCATTTTCCAGAGCGTCCACCGGCGGGTTGCGCTTCTGGGTCGCCCTGCTGGCGCCGCCCTCCCTACTGACCTGGAGTGGCGGCGCGACCGTCCTATCCCCGCCGCTGCAGCTGCTCCCCTGTCTCATGAGGGCCCTCGCGAGTGGTGGAGTGTGTACATCGACGACTTCGATAACTGCGAGACGGCTGGGTGCAAGGAGGCGCTCGCGAAGGTGGGCACTCCTGGCCGCCTGCAGGCCCAGATGAGGGAGAGCTACCAGCGGAATGCAGTCCCCATCAGCGTGGACAAAGCCAACCAGAGGCAGCTCTTGGTCACGCGGATGGGTGTAGAGGTGGACGGGATCTCAGGCAGGGCCGCCAACAATGGCATAAAGAACGCGCAGCTGTACAGCCTTACCATGTGGCTCCTGACAAGAGAGAACCCCCTATCGGGAACCAGCTCCTCATTCTCATGGGACGTTGGGTGAGGGCGCTAGAGTTTCGACGTCCTCTCTTCGGGGTGTTCAACTCGGTGTGGGAGCAGATTGGCTCGGGCCGTACTGTGTTGACCAGGGCCAGCCTGGACGAGCTGATGCACAGCTGCCTGCTGATGCCCCTCGCCTCCACCAACCTGAGGGCCGCTACCGCGGGCATCGTCTCGTGCTCTGACGCCAGCGAAGACGGTGCCGGTATGTGCACGGCCGTGGGGCTCGCAGAGGGGGCCGCGAAGTTCCTGGCATCTCTCGGGGGCTCTGAGACCTGGGGCCATCGCATTGCCAGCTACACCGGCTCGTGCACGGTCGAGCCGACCAGGATCGCCCCAGGGGTTCCGCCGCGCGTCCTGTTGGTGAGCTTGTTTGACGGCATCGGCGGTGCTGCTGTGTCGCTGGTGCGCGCTGGTTTCGACATCGTAGGCTACATGAGCAGCGAGGTCGATAAAGGGCCTCGCCGGGTGCTGAGATCGCGCTGGCCTGGCCTGATCGAGCTGGGCCCAGTCGAGGAAATTCGCGACCGACAGCTTGAGGCTCTGGCAATGTTCCAGGATCGGATTGTCGCCGTGGTCGTTGCGGGAGGCAGCCCTTGCCAGGACACGAGCGGTGTGAACGCCGACCGACAGGGCGCGCGTGGCGCTCGGAGCGGCCTGTTCAAGCGCATACCCAAGGTGGTGAGCGCACTTGCTCTCGTCATGAAGGTGCCTGTCCATTGGCTTGTGGAAAATGTACTCTCGATGAGCGCAGAATCCCTCCAGGAGTTCTCCCGCATCCTCCAGACTAGGCCCATCAGCGTGTGCAACTCCCTCTTTGCCGAGAATAGAAGGCCACGTTTGTACTGGTTGTCTTGGAGAGAGGCGGTCCTCAAGCTCCCCGGGGTGCACGTGGGGCCCAAGGCCAACTACGACCTCATCAGGGCGCTCCAGGTCCCGAAGGCTCCTGCAGGCTCTTGGGTTGCCTCAGGGTACTCCAGGGCCTCGGACAAGGGCCCAGTCTGCACGTTTCTCCAGCGGCGGGAGAAGACTGTCCCGTACAAGCCTGCAGGTTTATCGACAGCGAGCCCAGAGGCCATCCAGAGGTGGACCCAGGACCTGCACGCGTACCCTCCGTACCAGTACGAGCTAGTTCACATGATTCGGGACTCCGAGGGGGACTTGAGGCCCTTGTGTGCCACGGAGAAGGAGGTGCTCATGGGGTTCCCTCGCCACTACTCGTCGTCCGTAGCCAGCTCGGGCTCCAGCCGTGGCAGCGTTGAGAACGATCGCTGCAGCCTCTTGGGGAACGCGTTCGCCTGCTGCGTCGTTAGCTGGCTGTTTCTCGGTCTGAAGTGCCAGTTGGGCTGGCCCGTCAGGGCGACTGACCTCGAGGGGGTCGCGAGCGAGTTGGAGGTAAAGGACTGCTTGACGAGTCGGTGGAGTTCTCGAAGGACCCCATCAAGGAGACCCCCATCGGCCGCAAGCTGGTCGAGATTTTCTGGACGATTGCCGAGAAGTCGGGGAGTGACATCCGCCTCGACCTCGGTGTGCCTTTCCGCCCCAAGGCGTGGCCGCGAGCCTCGATTGACCCGGCGCTGTGGCGCTGGCGGCCGACGCTGTCCTTCCCGCGGCCGAAGTCGTCGAGGGAGCTGCATATCAACGCGCTCGAGTTGAAGGCGATGAACGCTTCTTTGCGGCACAGGACTCGCACTACATCGTTCAGGAGCGTGAAGGTTCTGCACCTTGTCGATTCCCAAGTTGTGGCCTCGATACTGACCCGCGGCCGCACGTCATCGGGGAAGCTTCGAGGACTCACTCGACAGTACGCTGCTATACTTGTCAGCTCAGACTTGTATGTGGGCGTTGGGTATATCAATGCCAAGCTCAACCCAAGTGATCGGCCGTCCAGGGGGTTCTTGATTAAGAAATGGCGCCGAAAAGAGTCCAAGTGACAGCTCGCGGCGGCAGGCGTCGCAGTTGGTTGCGTGTGCGTTCTCAATTCAGTAAGCGAGGCACGCGATTGCGTGACCTACAGGTCACTACAGCCACGCGTGATTGGTATGTTCGATGTGCCGGTCGCCTTCTTGTGTGGTGGAGGGCGCGCAGTGTGAAGCTGTCCTCGCTCAACGACGTGGACAAAAGCCTCAGCTTGTACATGGAAGCGTGTTGGGCAGAGCTGGAGCCGCTTTACCTGGTGGTCAATGCGACAGCGGCTTTGCAGTGGATGATGCCCTCCTTGAAGGGCAACCTGCAGCAGAGTTGGAGCCTGGTGCGAGCGTGGGAGAGGCAGTGCACGCCTGGTCGGGCGACGCCGTTCACGGCCGACATGGTCCTAGCCTTGGCAGCTGCAGCGTGGGACCTCGGCTGGGGAGGTCTGGCGACCGTGATGCTCGTCGGTTTCGACACGTTCATGCGCACAGGCGAGCTGCCGGCTCTCAGACGGCGGCACATCCTTGTCAAAGGTGAGCGGGCAGTTATTCACATCGAGGCCTCGAAGATGGGACTGCGAACTGGCTTCTCAGAAGTGGTTTCTCTCAAAGACGGAGTGTCTCGAAAGATCCTAAAATACACATGCTCGCAGCTGGGGTCAGAAGATCTGCTGCGTGGAGCGACGGCGCCTGAAGTTCGAAGGCAGTTGTCCTGTTTGCTTCAGATGTTCGACCTTCAGGACCGAGGGTTCACAATGTACAGCCTCCGCAGAGGAGGTGCGACCGCCCACTTCACCCGCCATAGAAATATGGAGTATACTCTTCAACAGGGCCGGTGGGGCGGCACAAAAGTAGCCAGAATGTACTTGTCTCAGGCAGTTGCTGATACCGTCGCTCTCACCCTTCTGCCTAGCACCAAAGATAGAATTCGAGCTGCCGCTCTCCGCTGGAAAGACATTTTAAGACAGCTGAGGTTGCAAGACTTGAATTGTACATTCAATCCAGTAGTACCTTACCTGATGGCGTTTAAAATAGGTCGGCAGAGCCACAATAGGGGGACGTGGAAGGCTCTCGAGGGGTGGCCCCAGGGGTTTAACACGTTAAACTGTGTTTCCTGGTGTTTGCGGGGCCAATTGTACTCGGCGGGCTGCCTTACCGTCTAGGGGTCAGTGCGGCCGGCGAGCCGAGCTCGCTGGCTTGCTCGCTGACCTGCTGGAGGGTGCTGGTGCTCGCCGTGTATGGGCCCCTGCCAGGTCCTGGTGGCCGTTTCTCCTCGAGTGTGCTTGAGCCTCTTGCACTTTGAACCTGTGGCGGCGCGACGCCCAAAAAGAGGAAGCCCCAAACATGTAACATAACACCCTTGGGGTTGGGCGTATGTTTGGACCTCTTTGGCAAAGTGCCGCCGTCGAGCGAGCAGGTGATATCGCTCGATCGTGCCGTAGGTGTACGGCTCAAGCGGCCCTCCGTCCATCCCCAATTCTGCCACCTTTTAGGTCAGGCTCTCGAGGGGTGGCCCCAGGGGTTTAACACGTTAAACTGTGTTTCCTAGTGTTTGCGGGGCCAATTGTACTCGGCGGGCTGCCTTACCCTCTAAGGGTCAGTGCGGCCGGCGAGCCGAGTTCGCTGGCTTGCTCGCTGACCTGCTGGAGGGTGCTGGTGCTCGCCGTGTATGGGCCCCTGCCAGGTCCCGGTGGCCGTTTCTCCTCGAGTGTGCTTGAGCCTCTTGCACTTTGAACCTGTGGCGGCGCGACGCCCAAAAAGAGGAAGCCCCAAACATGATGATGCTGCTGATGATGATGATAATGATGATGAGGATCATGATGATGCTGATGATGCTGCTGATGATAATGATGATGATGATGATGATGATGATGATGATGATGATGATGATGATGATGATGATGATGATGATGATGATGATGATGATTGATGATGATGATGATGATGATGATGATGATGATGATGGTGATGATGATGATGATGATGATGATGATGATGCTGCTGCTGCTGCTGCTGCTGCTGCTTACGACGACGACGACGGCGACGATCACGCTGACGACGAGGAGAGAGCAGGGGGAGGAGGAGGAGGAAGAGGAGGAGAGCGAGGAGGAAGGCAGGAAGGAAGGAAAGACGCGGGGCGCTGCGGATTCATAACGAGGACCCAACACCACAGGATGGTAGGGACATCTCAAGACGGAGGTTTCTTGTTGTTTTCGGCGTCTGGGGGCCCTCACCCGGCACCGGGGCTGGCACAGAACGATCCGGGACAGATAACTGGTCCCAAGGAAGTGGTCCAGAGCTTTCGAAGTCCCTCGGGAGCGGCCTTCGGAGGTCCCAGAGGTCTCCGAAGGCCCCTAGAGGTCTCTGGGGGCCCCAAGTTCGGGCACCGAGAGAAGACCCGCCCAGACAGGTCGATTGAGGAATTCTAGACGCCACCCAAACCGCCGACGGCGACGACTACGGCGATGACGGCGACGCCTGCGGCGCCGTGGCCAGAAAAGCCTTTTCGTTCCTAATCCAGCGTTCCTTGGCCAGACATCCCCTGTTCAGATTTTTGTCAGTACGGGGCCCGCAGAAGTTCCGACTCTTTCCCCAGGGCGGGTTGTTCATCACGAGTCGTTTTTTGACGGCCCTGGGGCCCAGCGATGGCCCCCATATGCCGAAAATTGCCAAAAACCCTCAGCCGCTATTTGTCCACGACGCGAGCATGCCTGGGCTTAAGTCTTGCATGTCCCCCTACAGGCGGAATATTCAGGAATAGTCAAAGAATAGTCTGAGGACGATTTTCCGAGCTCTGGTGACTCTTTTTTTTCCTCTCCAGACTCCGCCTGCAGGAGGACACGCCCGACCTAAGCCTGGGCCTGGCAGCGACCACGGCAACGCCGGCGACGCCCCCGCGGCGGCGGGGTGCGGCGGCGCCCGCGAGGCGGTGACGCCCGCGGCCAGTCTGGGGCAGGGCGCCCGCCGCGGCGGCGCCCGCCAGGGAGGGCGGCCAGGCTCGGCTCGCGCACGCGCGCGCTCGTCGCGGCCGCCCATCGCCTCCTCCCCCTCCTCCTCCCTCCTCCTCCCCCTCCTCCCCCTCCCTCTTCTCTCCTCCTCCTCCCTCCCCCTCGTCCTCCTCCCTCCTCCTCCTCCCTCCTCCTCTCCTCCTCCTCCTCCTCCTCCTCCTCCTCCTTCCCCTCCTCTTTTGACTGGATTGCGCACGGGGACGGGCCTCTGGATCGCACATCACCTTCGCAGTGCCTCGGGGGGGAGGCCTTCAAGCGCCCGCCCACTCCCGAGGCCTAGTCGCGTGGCGCAACGCGCTCGCGCCCTCCGCACAGTGCCGAGTCTCACAAAGGTGGTTGACCCTGGACCGCACGGCGGCACAGACGCAACGCGCCCGCGCCAGCGCCGCCGCACAGCGTCTTGCGCCGCCACGGCTGCACGGGCTTTGCTGCGCAGGCGCACCCCCCGGCCTCCCGCCCAGAGAGCGGCGAGCGGAGGATGGGGCCTAGGGACCCCGACCGGGGGGGAACCCAGCACTGGGGGGAACCCAGGTCGCCAACCCCCGATCGCCCCCCCCCCCTGGGGGGTGGGCGCGACCCCACCCACCTCCGCCGGTCCTGCGGCCCAGGCCACCGGTTTTATTGTTACCCCGCCGATACAGGCGGCGCCGACCGCCCCACCGGCTCCACCGGCGGGGGATGCTCCGGCTATCCCCGAGTCATTGACGCGCCCCTTGCTCTATCCAAGCAGGAGGGGACCTCCTCCTCCTCCTCCTCCTCCTCCTCCTCCTCATCGTCCTCCTTCTCCTCTTCCTCCTCCTCCTCCTCCTTCTCCTCCTCCTCCTCCACCTCCTCCTCCTCCTCCTTCTACTCCTCCTTCTCCTCCACCTCCTCCTCCCCATCTTCTTCTCCTCCTCCTCCCTCCTCCTCCCCCTCCTTCCCTCCTCCTCTCCTCCTCCTCTCTCTCCCCTCCTCCTCCTCCTCCTCCCTCCTCCTCCTCCTCCTCGTCCTCCTCCTCCTCCTCCTCCTCCGCGCGTGCGAGGGCACGCTCGCGCTTGTCGCGGCCGCTCATCGCCGCCGCCGCCCCTGCCGCCGTTGTTGCCGTGAGATCATGGCGTCGCAGTTTCTTTACGACGGGCTATCTTATGCCTCGAGTCGGGCCCAGGGACCCTCACGACTCCACCTGGCCTGGAAGGAAGCCCGCAGAAAGTTGGGGGCGAGGGCTCTGGATTCAATTTTTCAGGAGGTTGCAATTTTTTCCTCGTAGCGTCGGATCTCAGGGTACCGTCGTCGAGCTCGTCGCTGGCGCTGGGCATCCGCGCGCAGGTCGTCGCCAGTCTTCCCATGCCGTCGCTAGTCGTAACCGCCGCCGCCGCGGCTGCTGTCGTCGTCGTCGTCGTCGTCGTCGTCGTTGTCGTCGTCGTCGTCGTGTCGTTTCGTCGTCGTCGTCGTCGTCGTCGTCGTCGTCGTCGTCGTCGTCGTCGTCGTCGTCTGTGTTGTGGGGCCTTGCTTTTCCGGAGATGCATCGCGCAGATCGTCTCTGGCGTTTGTGTGGATGGCTCAGCAGCGCTTCAGCGTGTGCCACACCGCTGGCTCGTGCTCCCAAGGACCGCAACGGCAGCAGAGCGAGAAGTACTTGGAGCTGGGTTAAATACGGTTGGGACTTTTTGGAATGTTCCCAGATAGTCTTAACATAGTCTGGGGACGTTTTTTTTGTTTATTGCTGATTTATTTTCTCTTTAAAAAGATTTGGTGCATTTTTTTTTTTTTTTTTTTGTTTTGAACATTTTGATTTTGCGTCCAAGATCCGCCTGTAGGAGGACATGCCCGACCTAGTGACTGTTTCTCCATTGGGCGCGGAGCGCTCCAGTGGCGCCGCTGGAGGCTGCACGGGGGTGCCGACACCGCCTCGGACCACCCTCGGGGGCCTGTGGAGGCCAGCCTGGGCCCGCTTCAGGAGCTGTCTGTGCGCAACCCCAGACCTTGCCAGACCGACCCGGACTTCCGGCGACACCATCCCTTAGAGTCGCCGGTCCTTGGAGCTGTCGACCCCTTCCACGATAGCAGATGGCAGCCTTTCGCATCCAGCCGTTTTCTCCTGGTCCTGGGGCCCGGCGCCGACATGCCGAAACTTTTCAGTCGCGCTTTTTTCTGCCGAATCGCCAGAGGTCGCCTCGAGGTCTCCAGAGGTCCCCAGATGCGCCGGAGGCTCCTGAAGGCTTCTGGATGCCCCAGGAATGCCCCAAGCGCCACAAGCCTTGATCCTCGATCGTCGATCGATGGGGCGGAGGGGGAGGGCGAGGACGAGGAGGAGGCACTGGCTCCGCCTCTCGGGTCTACGAGCTGGCGGGTGCAGGCTGAGGCTTGGCCGACGACGACGACGGCGGCGACGACGACGATGACGGCGGCGGCGACGACGACGACTACGACGACGACGGCGGCGACGACAACGACGACGACGACGGCGACGCTGACATGGGTCGGAGTCCTCAGGGATTCTGTTTGGGGTCTCTTCGGAGCGCTCTCGGAGGCCTCTGGGGGGCACTTCTGGGGGCCCCTTGGGAGCATCTTGGAGGTCTCTTGGGA